TGGGCCTGGGATGCTGGGCAAGCTGGTACTTACAGGTCAAACACCAAGAAGAAGAAGGTGCTGGATTCATAGCTGTCCTTCAGCTGGACTGCAATAAAACAGGGGGGCTGTGAGCACAGTGTATAGCATGTTCCTGTCTGTTAACAGGCTAAAATTGCTGATTTAATTGCTAACAGAATTAATGAGGAGTTGATCTGCACTAGTGTTTTGGCTGGGAGACAGCATGGGCACTGCTGGTGTGTGTGTCGAGGCAGAACAAACAACACTCTGAGCAGGTGCCCTGTGTCGTGTTACGACCATCAGAGCTCTGAGCTTCCAGGGATTTCATCCCTGAAACCCTTCCTGGGGGGACACACTGGAGAATTAAACAGGGCAGAAAACCCCCTTGCCCTGACTTACTGACGTTGGGGTGGCCTGAGACTTTGCGGAGGATGTCGATCTCCTTCGTGGTGGCTTCCCGCAGCTCCTGCACCTCCTTGGGGGAGATGTTTCCCGCCGTGATGTCGATGATCTTCACGGCATATTCCTGCCTGGTGGTTTTGTGGATGCACCGGCGGACGACGCTGCTCACCCCCCTGCCAGGGACAACACAGACAGGATGGGGGTTCCACTCCTGCCCACCCAACCCGACCCCACGGCCGTGCCATCGGCACCTGGGCCGGTCGGTATTTCATGCACGAGCGGGTCTCACTCTGTCGCCCCGTCTCGGTGGGACAGGAGGTTTTTGAGCTGATGGAAAGTGCTGTTCCATGCTATTTTTAGCCCCATGCTGCTGTGGGCCCTGTTTGTATCAGATTCCCAGGGAACACTGTTCCTATCGGGTACTGGAATGCGTGAAACCAAAACAAGCTGTTTGCCAAGAACAGGCTTTACCTGCCCAAAACCTCCTTCGGCTCATATTTTTCATAAAACTCCTTGGATGAGTTCCAGTCTGGTAGCTCTTCTTCCTTGGTCATCTCTGGCTCCTATCTGGCAGCACTCTGGGCTCGTCTGCAGGCACAAAGGGACTGCAAGGAGAAAAGAGTGAGGACAGGCACTGGCTGCCCCCGGGGCTGGGACCCTTGATGCCTTCTGGAGGAGAAAATACTGAGGAGGGAGGAGGAGGAGGAGGACAATCCTGGACCAAAGACCAACAGGATTATTTTTCTGGTTGGAAAAGCCAAGCTTTGCCCTTGGGACCTTGTGGAGATCCCACTGAGAACAGGAGAAATCCCACTGGATTCTCCCATAGCCTGGCTGTCCCAAGGGGCAGAACCAGCCTGGCTGGGGCAAGGCTTTGGGGAGCACTGCAGCACCTCAAAACCTGATCCCTTCCCCACACCCAGCTCACAGGGCAAGTAGCAACCTCCAGGATCATCACCCAATGCCAACACCACCCAAAGTCCCTTGCCAAGCGCCGGAATCTGCCTTTTTTTTCTTTCCTTTTTTTTTTCCTTATTATTTTTAAGACGACAGAATTATCTTTGCCTGAGAACAAGGGGGAAAAAATAGTGTTTAAAGGGAAGGGAAAAGGACTAAGGAGGGAAAACAGGTGGTGAGAGCCAGTGAAGCAGCAAGAGGGGCTCAGTGGGTCAGTGTGCAGGTGGGGAACTAAGTGCTGTGGGGTCAGTCAGGGCCAAGCCAGCATGAGGACAGCAGCTGAACAAGCTTCCTCAGCCACTTGTGTGCAGCTGCCAGCAGGCTCCAAAACTCCTGTAAGGCTCTTATCTCATTTCTTTTTCCTATTTCGGGGTTGGGTTTTTTTGCCAGAGGAGGAGCGGTTTGACAGTATTTTGGAAGGGGCGTGGGATATCATTGGTACTCCTGATCCTTAATTTTTACTGGCTTTTCCCTTTAAGCTCTGGGAACTGGATGTTTTCAGCTTCTTTCTGTGCCCATACACGGAGCCCATGCAATTAGGATGGAAAGCAGCTCTTACAAGCTTGGGCAGCAAAACTGTCACTTTGGGGTGACAGTTTGTTGCTGGGCAGGGGAGAGAGGCAGGCAGGAGATCCCCAGTACTGCAGGCTTTTCCTCACCCCCCTCTCCAGGGCACTGGCATCTCTAAGTACATTTAAATCTCATTATCAGTGTGTATCTGTCCTGACCTGGTTGTAAAGACCGATGGGGTGTTTTGGGTGTCTGGCTGCTGCTGCTGGGAGTGATGTCTAACACGGGCTGTTCTAAACAGCCGTAAGTTCGACTTCATTTATAAAATTTTAGCCGTTGGAAATATTACAAGCAATGCCAAAGCAAGCCTGAGCTGGAATTAGAAACGAGAGGCGGGATCAGGAAGTAGGGAAAATAAAATATCTCTGAGGTGGAGGAGAACCAACAACTTTGATTCTTTTTGAAGTGAAAAATCCACATCCCGGAGGGGTTGGTGTTGTGGGGAAGGGCTGGAGGTTGGGGGGGTGCATCCGTGGAGCACTGCCGGGAGAAGTGTGGGATCCATGTGCCGCCTTCTCCTGGGACGAGAGAGCCCGGGAGTTTGTGCATAACACCCTGGAATTATATAAGCAGCCGGTCCATGGCACTAACGGGATACGCTGGGACTGCAGAGAGGGGGCAAAGGGGGGAATTTTCTGTCTGGGGAGACGCGCCGGGCATCGCCCCCCGCCCGCAGCTGCCACCGGGGAGGGGGTCCAAAGTTCGCCTTCATCGATAGCAAATAACGTGCAAATACCGACCGGGATAAACCTGGAAAGCTCAAGCTAAACTCAGCTTTTAGGCCGGTTTTTAGCACTGGAGCTCCCCCCTCTCGCCCCCGGCCGAAATCCGGCTCCAGCAGCGCCGCCGACCCCCCTCCAAGGGAGACGGGGGGGGGG